AAATCAATATATGTAATCCTTGTCTTTAAACTATACATTTGTTTATCTTTTAATGGGAATAAATTGAATCACGGTAACAAACAATTATTAATTGATTCGCAGTAAAGAACAAAACAATAAAATTGCTCATCATTTAATAAAATGTGTCCAACCTTTTCTCACTTATTTCAGAAGTAGCCCCAGAATATGATAAAAACAAACTATACAGCTTCTCATGGGAAGCACCTATCGAATTGCTTTTTCTCAAACTAAATTTGTATGAAACAAATGAAGATGCTACAGGGCAAAATACAAAAAAAATGTGTTGAATGACTTTTTTTCCTAGAACTCGAGGCATTGAAAATATATTTCCCAAAATGATCCTCGGAAATTACTTTTTAGCTTTATTGGTCATTCCATTAGTGTATAAAATATCAGTTCTATTTTTTTTCTGCTTTTAGCAATGTAGTTCAGAAGTTGCATAATCTGTAAAGTTTTTGTAAACACTAGTGCACTTAAAGCAACACTGATGGGGTTTAATCCAAATTATAAAACTCACACTAAAGTAGTCAAGCTGTGACTCATTTTTTGTTTTTTCCAAGTCAGTTATATTGGTCTAATTTTTGCCATTTATAGTTTTAACCCCATCATTACAATGTAGTTTTCGTACTTTGAGAACAAGAACAATGTTCACATCTTTCCTATGTATTTGTTCAAAACTACCCCAATACATATTATACCCCATTTGTAAAAGCTATTTGGGCTTTTCTTATTGTACCAGGCATAAACCAGCATTATGTTTGGGCAGCTGTGCAAGTCATCATTTTAAACATTTTAATCTGCAATTATATGGTGAGGGAAAGGTTTTTGGTTTTCAAGTGGAAAGGATTGGGGACATATTTTACACTTACACCTAAAAAATATTCACAATCTTTGTAAGGAGGAGGAGGTTTGAATGTATTGATCAAGAGATTAACTTTTTAAAGGACACTAAAGGCACCCAGACATCTTCAGCTCATTAAAGTGGTGTGGGTACAGTGCCCCTGTCAGTTTAACCCTGCAATTGTAATTATTACAGTTATTGATAAACTGTAATAATTACATTGCAGCTTTAACTTCATCTCTAGTGGCTTTCTTCCGGCTTCCGGGTGGTTAGGAGGCTTTTGGTCACCTAACTGATGCTGGACGTCCTCATGCTATGCAGGAGAACATCAAGCATTAGCTAAAACCCCATAGGAATGCAATGATTCAAAGCTTTCATATGGAGTTGTTCTAATGCAAATGTGTTGTTCGCCATGTATGTGCATTAGATCCCTAACATTGGTTGACAATGGGGGAGGAGGAGTAGAGGCGGAAGCGGGGCCTGACTTAGCGCAGAGGGACATTAGCGCTTTAATCAGGTAAGTAACCAAAGGGTTCTGTGCTGTGGGGGGTGGAAGGGTCGTGCAAGCGAGGGGGGCAGTATAGGGTACTATATTGCTATGAGAACAATTTTGTATTCCTAGTGTCACGTCCTGTTCCATTCTGCACAGATGTCTGGCCTTGGCTTCTGGTATCCAGTACTCTTTTTACAATTCTTGTTAAGTTTTTCTTGCTTTTTCTGGTTTTCTATTCTATGTCTGGTTTTCTTTATGCTGGGTTTTCTGGGTTCATTCCTTTATTCCGTTCCTGAAATTCCCAGTCTCTTGGATTCCTTTAAATGTTTGTTTTTTGTGTCCATACCCATTCCTTTGCCATTAATCCTTTTTGTTTCAGTCTGTTCCTGCAAGCAGTGGTCTCTGCTCCTTTCTTTGCAGATAAGTACTGTGTGTGTTTTATTGTTGTTTATTTAGTCATGCATGTCTAGGCAATTAGGACCCACCGTAATTGGAGTGCTTTGGCGCAGTGGTGGGCTGCATACATCTTGTCCATTTATATTTATTTTGTCTTGTATTCACAGTTCATGTTCAGTCCTGTCCTGTCCTGCCCTTTCCATGTCCTGTTCATGTTTCCCTCATGTATTGTGTACATGTTATGGGTTCTGCTTTCAGTCCTGCTCTGGTTCTGGGTTCTTCCATTCTTGTCTTGTTATCTTGTTTGGTGCCTGTTCTAGTCTTACCTTGTTTCTAGTACTGGATACTTATCTGCTTAATATCAGCTCCTGGCATTCGCTAAGCTGCATCAGGGCTCTGGTATGTGGCTGCACAAACCCTGGTGCTCAACCCCAGGGGGTGTGTGGTTACCCTGCACCAGACCCTGATTGTCCATTTCCACGCTGAGACTCCTATCATCATCATCAATATCATCATCAGACATACAGGGGTCCCAGTCTTCGGACCGCCACCATTACAATACATTACAACACAGCTAAACACTCCCATTCATACCAGCAGAAATCCTCCCCTCTGCCTGTGATACAATCATCTCAACACAATAGACTAACTTAATTATCACAGGCAGAAAACATACAGTTTTGCACACTATTCATAACTTTAAAAGTATACATCACATTCACATTTTCAGAATCAGCATACTCCAAATACAAACATACTCAAAAATCAGGCAATCCCTTCCATTGGTTTAAAAGTTAGGTCGAAGTCATTTGTGATCACTGCAAGCATGGCTTTTCCTGCCCAAACCAGTTCCACAGAGTTAGGCTGTGTGAGATAAGTGGCTTAACTGGGTGTGGTAAGCCAACTGTCTCCAGATACAGAAAATATCCATATTCACAACAACAGCAAATATTCACAAAAATACATAAATCCTATCATACTGTACAGAACCCCCACATTCAACCTATCCCCAGATGGCTTGGATCTGAGTGCTCAATATATCCAAACAGTGCTCAGATCCCACAACCACAGTCAAATCGCCATGGGGTTAAAGTTACAGCATGGGCTGATGAGAGGGGCCATAGTCATGAGGCAAGAGGCTAGCCATTAGTCCTCTCCAGGTAGAAGTGGCGAAGGGCACTTCATCACAGATCCACTTCATTGTTGTATGATACAGAAAGTAAAGGACTGAATTGTTTTGTATTATTTTTTTTAAATAATGAAATAGTTGTAGCATTAGACAGTGGGGACAGGAACTAGATTCAATTACAAGTCTCCTCTTCACTCAAAATGATCGCTCCTTGGGTGTAGATTAAACTGAATGCTAATTTCTCTTGCTTTTCCAAAATAGAAGAAACCTGTTAGGTGAATCAATTAAGAATTGGTTGGACAAAATTTGCCTGTATTACCCTGTTAAGAAATTATATTTACAATAGACTTGTGCCTGGAGGAAAAATACAGTCTTGCTTAACCATTTTTTTAAAAATTTAGTATGGGAACTCTGACACTCTGACTCACATTTTGTCCCATAAATCATCACTTTTTTAGTATTATAAAGAAATTAACATGCTCATCCATCATCCGAGTCATTTGCTCAGTTATGCATCCATATGGTGCTTCAGAGATACAAAATTATGCCAAACTGCTGATTGCCCTAAATTTGGAACAACTGCAATTCTATCAAAACCAAATGTACACGTCTAATTTATAAAATCAGAAAACATTTCACTTGGTAGCCGACCTAATATGTTTCCTGAAAGGCCCTTGCAGCGTAATCTATATTAGAGAAACTAATGAGAAAATGAAGGATAGATTCTGTAAATCAACTATGAAAAAAATAAAAGCACAGATTTGTCTCTACCTGCACATTTTATAAAAAACATATATAAACTGACCAGCCACATCATTAAAACCACTGATAGAAATGAATAGTATTGATTATATTGATTATATTGACACCTGTCAAGGTATGGGATATATTAGGCATATATATGGGAAGAAGGAAGGCCAGCAGAAGCAGTTTTATGCTCTGGGTAAGGTTCTGCTGGGAAACTTACTTGGGTCCTGGCATTCATGTGGATGTTACATTGACACACACCACTTACCTAGAGATTGTTGCAGAGGTCCTTTGGCATCCATGTCTTGATACGTCTGTTTTGGCAGCATAGGGTTGACCTTTATGATATTAGTAGGTGGTTCTACTGTTGTGGCAGATCAGTGTATGTGTGTGTAGTGTATGTATGTATACTACATATACTAAAACGATGATGTGTTTTCTCTAAGTACAAATTAGTCACTAAAATATAACCTTAAGCCATTCTGTGCTTTCCTGTCTTGGAATATTGCTGACCCTCCTGATGTGCCTGGTCAGAAGAGGGTTACTTGAACTCAAGTTCCTTTCATACTTCTCATCTTGCGTGTAGACCAAATCTAGGTTCTGTACTTTCTTCCCAACAACTAAACAAATTCTACCTTGCAGAAAAAAAATAATGGAACTTCGAAGACAGCAGGTGACATCGGGTTGTATTAGTTTAATGCCATGGTGAAAGATCAGTCATGACATCCATTTAAAGCCATTTCATTACTTGAACTATGGATACAACAAGTATCTATTTGATCTTTTTCTTGTCCTGTCAGCTCTCTGTCCTGGTTTTCACATCACTGTGAAATAAAATTACATATTGTCTTGGTTTGGATGCACTCAAGTATTGTCTTATAAAGAAGATCAAGCACTCTGAGAAATTAAGGTTGACAACTCTTATATGACCAACTGATAGCTTCAAGACTGATAGTTGCTGCATTATTACTCAGAACGATGAAGTGGGTTTATTCCTGTCCTTTAATCCAGTGCCAGGTGTCTGTCCAGCATTTTCAATAGCAGCTAAGATTCAAGTGGTTTATTCAATAAACAGTATATTACGATGAACTAACACCCAAACGGTAACTGAATCCAAAATATATTATTTTAAAATACATTAGTAACATATGCTGACATTTAATAAACAACCCAATGTTTGAAATACTTCACCAATTTTGAGAAAACATAATTAAGACAAAATTTAAGGTCAGGCTATTTAAATGTTGATAATTTTGCTATCATTTTTATTAAAGATTGTAATTACGAATTTCAAATATTCAACCAACATAGCCATGACTGTTGTAAGAAGGTTTTCGGACATAAAATGCTATTACCATGCCAATCAGTTTTCTGTTATGTTGTCTACTAAATCACAATCTCTTTAAAAATATATTTACATCACAGACATGTTAAAAAAATGTAGCTTCTCCAGGATACGTATCTCCTTAATAACCATCTTGGCAATTGTTAAAAGAATTTTAAAGGGACACTATAGTTACCAGAATAACTACAGCTTATTGTATTTGTTCTGGTGAGTATAATCATTCCCTTCAGGCTTTTTGCAGTAAACACAGTTTTTTTTTTGTAAGAGAAAAGGCAGTCTTTACATTACATCCTAGGGATACCTCCCCTGGCCACTTCTTAGATGGCTATTAGAGGTGGTTCCTGGGTCAGTGCTGCACAGTGTGCTTAAATGATTCAATGTATATCTTTATATATAAGTTGTCTCAGCTTACGTATAAAAAAAAACAGTTAAGTGGTTTTGTTGTAGATCATGCCCCATGCAGTCTCACTGCTATATTCTCTGCTATTTAAGAATTAATTCACTGTTTATACAGCCCTAGCCACACCTCTCTGCATATGTGACTCAGATAGCTTCCTCTATGCACTATCTGAAAAAGGGTTCAAAATTTTAGTTTCCCTTATAGCACAGTGTGTTTAATCTAAAATGTATTATTTCTTGCTCCTTTTATAACCTGATAGATTCTACATCAACATAATATGTGTGAATTAAAGTTCAATTTAGAGAGCAGGAGATAAGATCTGAATTAAATTGTAAGGTGGGTTTGAAAAAAAGGAAATAAACAATAAACAAAGTAATGTAACTCTTAAATGTTTTTTTACTCTAAGAACAATACGGAAATGGAATGGAGTCTGATTAGATAATTTAATAGTGCAATAATAGTGGTTAGTATTACAATACCACAACTAATGTGCAAGTAATTTGAGGGAAAATGCTTTAGTATTTCACTATTAAAGTGCAAGCTATTTTATGGTCTAATTCTGTCGTTTTCATATCAATTACAGAGGTCAGTCAACTCGTCAAACTATATAATCTTTTCGGTTATTGATTTGTTGACAGTTGATGTCAATTAGCATTCTTAATGTAACCATTGTATTGGCCAAGTTTTTGCCATTTTTTTTACAACTATATTTTGGTTTCTATTTTGGGAGTAGATTGTCCATTCACTACAATAAACCAATATTTTCAAATTAACATAAGCGAATTTTGGATAATTTACAGTTTTTCTTGAAAGAAAATTAACTCAAGTTTAGGGTCCTGACTATATTCTTTTTACTGATGTGCTCATTTTGTGCCAGTTGACTTGTAGTGATCTTTTGAATTTGCTTTGTAATATTCATATTTACCGTTCCTTTTTTGCTGACTGTCAGGATTATCAGGACACCTACAATCAAAATAGCCAGCTGATATTACTGAAAATAAAATTTGGCAAATCTCCCTCTTGCCATATCTGTCAGAAACATAAGAATGGTAAAAAATTATGTATAATCTCCAAACCCAAGCCTCTCCCCTCACCCCTTCAAAATGGAACACATGCACGGTCATTTACGAAAGTACGAATTAACAGGAATTTAATGAGTTTAAAATTGAAGGCCAAAATAGTTGAATTTAAAAAAATATCTCGGATTAGCTATGTTTGCAGTTTGGCTATTATTGTCTAACATTTTAAAATAATTTTGAATTCATTTTAAATTCGGACTTTATATAGTTATAATATCCTTTTAACTGAAATACAGCTGACTTAAAGGGCCACTAAATTCACCAAAACAACTACATCTTAATGTAGTGGTTCTGGTTTCTATAGCCTGTCCGTGCAGGCTTTTCAATGTAAACGCTGCCTTTTCAGAGAATAGGCAATGTTTACATTGGTGCCTAGTAACACCTCTAGTGGCAGTCACTCAGATGGCTACTAGAAGTGCTTCTAGTCCAGTGCTGCAGTGTGTGATGCACTGGCATACAGTGTCTCCATGCTCTGCATGGAGGGCTGAATTGAACCAATGCATCTCTATGAAGACAAGCTGATTGGCGCAGTGCAGCATTTTGACATGCATACGCAATAGCCTCCCAATGATATCCTATGGAAAAGTAATGGATTTGCTGGGATTATCAAAATTGATGATCTCAGCTGTGGAGGCGGAGTCAGACAGGGAAAAAAAGGTGAGCGTTGCTGACACTATAGTGTCCCTTTAAATAATTTTTCCAATTAGCTATTTTGACCTTACATTTTAAATTACATTTTAATTCTCACTTTAGTGAAAAACCCTGTTAGTAAATAATGCTTTAAGAGCCTCAATGACTCTTACACTAGGCCATGTAAATCTATGTGCCTTTAATCTTGTTATCTAGTATAGTGTTTTGTAATTGTAATTACACATTAGTTTTTTCATTTTTTTAAGTACAGTATATAGAAACACATTATTCAATAAATTAATGTTTTAATTTATACAATTTCCTAAAATATTAAAATCAATATAAACAACAATTTAATAAAATTCCCCCAAACATGTATATATTTGTAAGGTTCACAAATACATTGACTGCTTATTGAAATTGTGCTTGCTTAAAATATTTATTGATTTAAAAAAAGTTAAAATATTTGTGTATACAAAGTTGATGACAAAAAACCCATGCATACAGTTGGCATACAATAAAAATAACTTAACTTTACATCAGATGGCTTTACAAAATAAATGTTATAGTAACTTCCATGAATAAGTTATTTTATGAAGTGCATCCATCAGAGCAAACACATAGCAATCTGAGTCTATACGTCCTGTTCTAATAATTAACATTTAAGATAGTTCACATGGCCATTACGTTTTTGACAATGGTTTGCCATTCTTTTATTAACATAAGACTGGTAGTCATAAAGAAGGGCACTTAAAAACGAAGAGTGAATGGATATAATCTGTAGAGCAGTGCATCTGTTTATATGGAAGATCATTTCTAACTTCCTCAAATATGTAGATCAGCGTGAGTTCAAATTGAAGATAGTTTTGATCACAAGGTATTTGTCACCTCCCAAAAAATTTAACATAGAAAAGTGTGGAAATGTCATGTTAAAGGGACACTCCGAGTACCTGTATACTGACAGTAATTGCATACATATCTACAATTAACTAAATTCATGAAAGTTTGTTTATTTATTTATACGTTTTCATGAATGAAGCTACTCGTAAAGCTGACAAAGTAGATATTGCATTAGCTCGTACTTTGTTTGGCTTTTGGAATGCACGATACTCCAATGAAGAAAAAAATTGGAGGGCTATGATTCGTTTAAAAGTCTCAGCCACCTCCTAGTCTAAGGAGAGGCTGCAGATGTACATACAATTGTGGAATTTAAACTTGAACATTTCTTCTTTAATCTTTGTGGGGTTTTTTCATTCTATTAAATATTTTTGTTTGAAAGGAGCAAAGTTTCTCTTTAATATGTTTATAGCAAATGTTTGCATTGTTTTACCATATTATTTGCATAACACATTAAATGGGGGGTGGAGGGGTGGAGAACCCAAGCCTAAGCAGATACATTTTAAATAATGTATACTTCTTTAAACTGTTTAAATAACATCTCGCCTGCCCATTGCACAATTTTAATATAGACTTTTTGTTCCTCCTGTATGACAAAAATTGTTAAGAATGTGTTCAAAAATTGGAGTTACACTAGAAAATTCAGTCTAATCTTAGTTCAATGGACAATGTGAATTTGTATTCAAATATGCATTAGCAACGCATTTAATATGTTTTTATGCACTGTCAATTTATTTGGAGCAGACTAAAAACAATGCTATTTTTTATATATTATAAAACTGTATTTTATCTGCAATTTCCCTTTAATGGCATAATACATGAAAGTGTCTTTTACACACTGTGCATCATACAAATAATTTGCATAATTGTAACAACCTAATATGACATGTAATATGACATCTTAAAATGAAAACTGAAGCACATTAAACTCTGAATGTTATAAAAAATAGCTTCAATATGAAACATTATTCCTCAAAGAACGACATTTCTTATTTAGAGAAACCCGTCATAAACAAACATTGTCTAACCATTGGAGCATTTAACCTCTGTATCCATTTCACATATAGTTTTCTTTGATAAATGATTACAGATGCCTAAAAGAAAATATTTCCCCTCTTAGTCTGGCAGTCACAATATACAAATTCCTTATTGCACATCTATATGGGTTTTTTATCTCATTTTTCTCAGCCTCATTCTGTTTTCTTTATCCCTCTTTTTGAGTATATTAATAAACTGGTTGAAAAAATGTTCCTGATCTTTCTTCTTTTGTACAAGGCGAAAACGTTCATCCCGTCCATATTTCTCTGCAAATTCTTTAAAAGTGGTCCTTCAAAGAAAAGCAAATAAATGACAAATATGAAAAGTAGATATATAAATAACAAAACATACATGCTTTGATCTCTTTAGGCGACCACATACTGGGAGCTCATTGTCTTAATCAACATCCAGGTCAGCATCAGTCTTCCATAGTCAATTAAAAATAGTATTGGTGGTTGCTTATTTATAATGTTTAAAGGGACACTCCACTGCCATAATAAAAATGAAATAAAAATCACTGTATAGCAAATATACCTCCAATGAAAACATGTATGCATTTATTTGTATTTATTTTATTTGGGGTATATCAAAAAACCTCTTGCAAAAGCTGCAGATCTCTTGTCTGAAGCCTTAAAAAAATTGCATTTGGAAGTCTTTTGAGGGCAGTCTCTCAAAACCATTAACGACTCTTACTAACTTTTTAATGGCCTTGTAATGATGCTGTGCTGTGTCCCATAGACACTATTTCAGTGTTGCCCAAACTATGCTTAGAGGGACACTCCAGACTCTGGATACATTTTTGTTTTTTTATCACTCTAGTGTATGGTCTCTATGATTGCGCCTCTTTGAAACTAAACATTTTAATATCAATATTTTATAGTACATCTTACATCATAACCGGTATTGGATGCTTTTTATGGTTTAAGTGAAACTGTGATACAAATATTTTTCTCTACATTCCATATACATGATGGCCAGTTGGGATTGTGTTGTGACAGGACATTAACATGGTCCATTGAATCTGAATCATTGATATGGGATCAATGTGCACAATGGTACCTGATTTTTTTTACATTTGGGGAAGTAATTGAGAATGTAACAAAGCAAGGGACTCACATATTACCTAATTGCCTAGCCTCATCATCTGGCTATCTAAAGGATCCTTCTCACCACACGTGCAGCAGATTATAGGTAATATAATAGATTAAATGGACTTGTAGGACCACTCAATTCTTGACTTACTCCATGTTGTTGTATACAGCCAAGATGGCTCACAGCCTTCCAAGTACTAAATGTGCCCTGCTACTTTCAGGTGGGCTGTAAGGTGTAAGCCCCAGAGCTTTTGACATTCATCATGAAAACCCCATAGCTACACTTCCAGGGAATGACTACTAAATTATATATTAATATTTCCAATAAGATTTCTCTGTTGAAATGATTTACGGTAAATCAAAATGAAAGTGTAAGCCACTACCAGTAATCCCCAAATTTCCAGAATGATAATGTGGTATACATTCAAGTGGATGCAAAATATATCACCTACTAGTGTATTAGATAGATCAATTTAAAAAGAATCCAGTGCCCCACTTTTGATTTCTGAAAAGCAGAGTGATTTAATTTTTTTCAGTTCATTAAAATTCTTTATAAAGCACTAAGTCACCATCTACATTGTTTTACCTTGGGGAAAGTTTGGACTCCTCAAGAAGCTTTTTAAATTCTTCTTTGGCGAGCATTAATTTACTCCGTTTTTCTTTGTATTCTTCTTTAATCCGAGTTTTTACAAACTGTTCAAACATCTAAAAATAGAGAATACGTTCAATAACACTCAATAAGACTCAATAATTATTTTTTTGTTTTGTTATGGAAATTCTGTTACTGAACTTTGTAGCAATACATGTAAAAACTATCTTAACAGAAGATCTTTGGGTCTATTCATAGTAACTTTTAGATATCTAATCCACATTTTTGCAGGTTCTCTGTATAATGATCTGCCTTTTTAAAACCAGTTTTATAAAGACAATCCATTGCTTAGGATCTGAATGTTTCTAAGGTATGACCGTTGTACATGCAGACCTTTTTGGGGTCTTCAACATTGCACAAGTTTTGTTTCAATATTAGAAATCTATCTGATAGCCTAATCTAAGCATTATTTCAAGTGGGGTAGAATCAATAAATTGACATAACTCATCACAAATGTAAGTTAGTTTTCAAAAGTATTTCTTTATACCACCTACACATTCTAAGGATAATTTTAAAAAGAACAGCTCCAGGCAGAAAGAACAGCCCTGAAAGATCATTTATGTATGTACATACAAACATATATTTTATATATGTGCATATATACACTGAACAAAATTATAAACCTAACACTTTTGTTTTTGCCCCCATTTTTCATGAGCTGAACTCAAAG